TTACTGGACGATGCTTTCGATTGTAAGACTTCATTAACGCTTCTTCTAATTTCCTGTTTGTTTCTGTTGCCCATCCGTTTGTAGTAGCCAAATATAGCAAAACTAAACTTTTAAAAAATCCAAAAATTTTGAATTTTAAAATTAAAAAGTGAAAGCTTTATGAATGAATGATTTTTGAAATATTTTAAGCACTCCTAAAATTGTGTCGAAATTTAATTTGAAATATATTTAAATAAAAAATCTGACCAAAACTAATTTGCAACAGCATTCCAGGCGTGATCACAAATTCTGCAATAAATTCATGAATGTTGCTGTAGTCCCAGTTTCAAAAGTTTATGATATTTGATATGTTTAAAGAGTGATGCGGATCGTTACTGTCATTGTTATTCGATTGTATAAACAATATATTTATACTGAAGTAGAGGATAACTTTAAAAAATTTGAATTATTTCTTATTGTCAGAAGCACAAGATATATGTAAAAGCATAACAGACAAATGTTATATTCTCTGATAAAAATTATCATTAAAATATTAAATTATTTTGATAAATTTATTATGTTGATTTAAATTTATTTGCTTTTATCAACTTATCTTCATATTATTGAATTGGTGTTTATTTTTTAGTAAATATGTTGATTAAATTCGAATAGTTTAATTTAATTCAATTAATGTTTAATATAACTTTTTGAAAATTTTCATAATTTATTGCCTGTATATAAATAAAGTTTCATTTGCTCAAGCAACTATTAATTAATTACTGATGATGCATTCTTTTTTAAATTTCCAATTCAAATTCTTGGCATTCAGACAAATTGAATAAATTTTTATGTGACAACTTAATGTATCTTCTTGATATGGAGAATTAATCTGAAATTGAAAGAAATTGAAAACTGAAACAATCATTACACAGAAGAATGCTAAGCGGTTGTTTCATCTTTCTGTTGTCCAATTCCGTCCTTTTTCCTGCTGTATGGTCATCGAAACAGTGCGGTAATGAACACTTCCAATTATTATGTCCCGAGAAGGCAATGTGTGTTGCACTACGAAGTACAGAGTTAGTCATTTGACCTATTTATAAATAAATTATTGAATTTGAAACGAAAAAACATAGAAGCTTATCTTTTTACCTTCTTCAAATCTTAACTTCATTATTCAGATGGATGCATTATTTTTGGTAATTTTTGAATATAACTCATCGATAATATTATTTCAATTTCCTTTGACATTACATTCTAATTATTAAATAAATTCTCTCGCTCTTATTTTGTCGTGCAAAATAATTTGCCTGAAATAGTTTTTGTTATGAAATTTTTATGCAAAAATCTTTTGCATTTCACATAAAATCAACAACGGTTTCTCAAAGTTTAATAGTTAAAGAAAAAAAAAGATAGTCGTTCTATTGAATTGTTTGAGACATATAAAAATTTTAAATAAATTTTGATCGAAAACAAAATATATAATTCCTCTTTTTGGCCACACAAAGTGCGGCTCAATTTTCGCTGTGACGTGGAAGGTTGGTGCAAACAGCAATGTCCGAGACTAACTCTAAATCGAGAATGGTGCTTACTGCGTAATTTAACCCATGATATCAAATGTTGCTTACGTGATCGTTGTAATTGGGAGGAAATGCCACTTTTTGCTATCATTGTTAGTTTATTTTCATCGATGGCAAGAGGCAAATTAATTTGAAATGATAAACTTTCTTGTTTTCTTATTTATCAAAATTTTCCGTTGTTTGGCAGGTAAAATTAAAATTTCCACACTTGTCTTGCTTGATTGACTTTTTAACAGAGTTATTTGGAATTAAATTTTAGCCTTTAAACAAATGTAATCAGATAAATGAAATCGTATCTTTCTCAAGTGTTTAGTTATTGTTATCTTTTTTGATAATTATTGTTTTTATCATCTAATCTCATATTTCAAAAAAAAAAATTCTTGAAAATGTATTAAATTCTTGAAAATATATAGTTACTCCTGATTAGTTGCTAATCAATACGATTTCAAAATGTTTTTAACCAATACCTCATACGTGAAATTACATATGTAAAATTTCAATCAAATTCCATTTATACTAAGATTTCCCAAATGTCTTTTATTTCAGAAAAAAAAATTCATGTTTTTACCAAATATGGAAATTCTGGCTTGTTTATTAACGCCATTTGTTCTACTAATTTTTATTGTTTATCCTATAGCGCAATCATTGATTTATAAACGAAAGGTTGCGACATATAAAGAAATTGAATACAATCCAAAATTTGATTCGGAACTACCACAAAAAGAAGGATTAATATTCAAAGATTCACCACCAGTAATATTAATCGCTCATAATTTCCAAAATTTTCATGTAAAAATAAATCCGGAAGAAAAATTATGCCGATTTTTGAAAATTGGATTTTGTGACAAATTTTCATTTAATGAGAAAGAAATAATCATAATGGTATTTTCATATTAATTGGAAACAAAAAAAAAATAGCAAAATGTGTTTTTGGTATTTTTGGTTTTCTAAAATGAAAATATAAGAGATTTGTAGAAAGCCAGTGAACCACTCGATGGATGCTTAAATATAGATGAATTTGCGGAAGTTATGAGAGCATTGGCAGAATACAAAGGAAATGAGGAAGAATCGATAATTAAAACACCTGTGGAAGCGATCACATATGTGAGCTATGAAATTCACGAATCATTAGGCTTTGATTATGCTGTGGTAATTCTTTTTTGGGATTCACTTGACCTAAATTTACTATCTTTTCAAGTAAAAAATATCTGGAAAAATATTTAAAAACTTTATAAAGCAAATCAAAAAAAGTGAAATTATTAACGACAACGAATAATTACAAAATCGGAAAAAATGCACAATTCAGCGGTGCTTAAAATGCTGGATGGAAAAGACTAAATTTTATTTCGATGTTATCAAGAACTGCCATAGATTTTTCGTCATAATTGAAAACTTAAATTGGAATTTTGTCGATTTAGATTACACGTATTAAGCCAACTAAATTTGAAAGTCTTCTAATTCGTATGATTGAACAAGGGCCAGGATTCTTTGATATTGAGGGAGCAGAGTTATATGAACTCTTATCGGAGGTAAAATTTTAAATGAAAAAATTTCATCGCAAAATTTTTATTGAAAATATTAAAAATTTTGTTTGCCAGATTTTCGAAGGAAAAATTGCACTAAAAATTAATATATATCAAATTTAGTTTGCAATGAATCAATTTCTGAGTTTCAATCGTTAAATTATGACAAATAATTTCATATTTCTTGAATTTTTTAGAGGCAAGTGAAATTAATATGAAATATTTTTTACAGCTAAGTGAAATTTTACGCACAGAAAGTTCACTTCTAGAAATAACAGCCGATGTTGTCATAATCGGCGAACTCCGTGGACGGTCAGTTTTTTCTCTTCCATTTCAGTTCATTATTAAAGTAAAGAGCGTCAATTTACAATTTCAAACATACCAATGACAGCATACATCGCATTTTAACACAAGAATACCATTCAAATTAAGTAATTTTTTAACTTAATATAGATACTCTGACCTATTACGTTGGTTCCAATTATACGGTTACCCACCAAAACGTCGATATCTTTTTCTTGGCGGTATTATTGATGAAGAATGTGCTGAATCCATTGAAACACTTACTTTTCTGGCAGCATATAAAGTATATTTTGAAATTTTTATGCAAAAAATTACTTGTATCCAAGAAATTTCAAATAAAACTGCTACTAATTTAAACGAATTTGGAATTTATTTCTCTTTAAACAATATTTCATTAACTTTATATATCAATGGAGTTAACACGATATGTTTATCTGATGAAAGGTCACTATCGATTAATCTTGAAGAAACTTTGCATGATCTTCAGATAATTCTAGTTTCCAATTTGAAAGTTAGTAGGTAACAACACCAAATCATATTTATATGATACGTGGAGCGACGGAATTTTTTTCTTTTGAAATCCGAAAGCGCTTTCCGGTAAAGCTAAGCATTGTGCTATCAGCCTTTATCACACGAATCTGTTCTGAAATGCCTATCGCTGCAACGATTGGCAATACAATTTTTGCCGTGCATTCCGGTATCAGTCCGCAGGTTAGCGTATGAATTTTTGCAACCATCGCCATGATTTTGAATAGATTTCCAAAAACGATAAACATATTTGAAATACTGCAGTATTAAAGCATGTAGAAATTTCGATCCACTCAAAAGATCACCGCCAATTGACTGAGTGATGAAGTAATTAACAAATGAACAAATAAAATTTTCAGCTAAAAAATCTCGAAACAATAAAGAGAATTGAAAGGCCACCACTGAAATGGAACTATGGAATTCTATATGATTTAATACTAGGAATGCCGACAACTGCTATTGAAACATTCCAAAAAATCAAAGGTCAACAGATCTGAAATCGAATAAAATTGCGATAATTAGACATACTTGATCTGTTATAAATCATAAATTAAAGTTCATGAGATCATCATTCTCTTTCATAAGTTTTCCTAATGATGCTGACAAAATAAGCTCACGCATACTAAAATATGAGGATTTATTCTTATTCAAGTATTTTGCTCATTTTCGTTAACCAATAGTAAATGATTCAAGCATATGAAGTGGTAGGCGTTATTTGTTTTTTAGTGATTGTGAGAGAGAGTGATAAAAGATTAATGATAATGTTGAAGTAAATGATAGACAAGATCAAATGTCAATCAGATCATGCGTTCCTTCTAACATCAGTATTAAATTTTTTTAAATCTCCGCTCTAAAATATCTCATATAGTATACTGTATTTAAATTAAATTTGATATTAATAGAATTTCTGGATAGGAAACTTGCTTGAGTAATTTCAGATAAAATTTCAAAATTTCTTTTATATCGTAATCGTTGATTTTTTATAGGTGGCCGAGGCCATATTTTTGGTGAGAAAGCAATCCAGGAATTTATAGAACGATTACAAATGAAGTTGATTATACGTACGCATACGCCATATGAGAAGGGCCATTTTATGTTTGCATCTAAACAACTGCTAACCATTTGGTCTAGCAATTGCAACAACGTCAAACTAGCCACGAGCTTATATATTGATCCTCAGTTGCACGTCAGTGTACATTGCATGACACCCGTAATTGTAAAAACCATTTTTGGACAGTTAACAGAACCGGCATCGGATATGGAAATCGTGGAAGTAGAAGAGAGGAGCAGACGGAACGGTTTGACAAAGCTCAAAACACTTAAAGATATCAACGAAAAGTCTGAAAAGGATTGAACTCAGAATCTGTGAGTAATGTATCCGGACAGGTTTCTTCGGTTTATAATAGGATAGAAAGGACGACTTCAGGAAAAACTTCGGAAGAATATATGATTTTTAGTTTTACATTTCAATTTTTCTCTTAAATTTCACTTTTCTCTGAAATGAAAATTCGTTAATTGAAAATTTCTCACAGTTCCTGTTCCATTGTTACTTTCTCATTGCAAATGTATTATTAAGTTTGCATAAAGTTATTGCGTTGGTTATAAAAATTGTGTAAAAATGCTGCGATTTTAGGATCATTAATTTCCCATAAGTGTTTATAGCTGTTAAGATCAAGTGAAATCAGACTAGTTCTAAGTCTGTGTTATTGTATTCAGCGTCCAGTATTTCTTATAGATCTAAGCTCCTGAGTTCAATCCTTTTTCCGATTCCGAAGTTTTTAGTTCAGGTTAACACAATGGCGCAGCACAGACCTGAAATATATTTGACTATCTTCAACAAACCATTTTATTCAGCTTTTTTAATATTAGAAATTTTCGCTATTAACCTTTTTAAAGAGATCTCACTCATTGATGAAGTCAAATCTTTTCTGATTCAGCGTTTTTTAGGAAAATGGGATATATTAAAATGTTGCTGCATTTTTAGAATAAAATGTGCTATCATTTAATTTAACAGAAGATAAAATGCTGGAACAACTAAACCTTTCCATACCACTTATTGTTCATATCTAAAAAGCATTTTGATCATTTCCCGGAAGCAACTTGTTGTCAAAAATTAGTAATTGCTGAGAGCATTATCAATGATGAATAGTTGTATAAAGCCAAGTGCTTCAAAATTTCAAAAATACGACCTATATTTTCCTCTCTTTTCAGTTTCGTTTTTTCATCTTCCCGGCCTCATTCTTCATTTATCTTAGATTCCATAGTTCGCTAATTTTAAATTTGGATAAGGAATAGATTTCTTTGCACCGTAAACTTCAGAGTATAATTACGGATAAGAAATATTTTATAATCTCTGAAGAAATGTATATTTTAAAGACATTTTTTCATAGTAGTAAATGTAACTCCTTCCATGTTAAGTAAAAATTTCAACTGAGATAAATACAGAGATTTCTTTGCAACTTCATTGATAGGACATAATGAATATTTGAGGATGAAATAAATTTTTGGAAACAAGATAGCCAGTAAAATTTAAATAATTAGTGACATGCATATTAATGTTTTTCACATTTTGTGCAGTTATTATGAGAACTAAAAATGTTGGACAGTTAACATTCAAAAAATTTTTTCTAAAAAATCACAAAAATTATTTTTGAACTACAATGAACCATATTACAGAGCACTTTTTTGTGCATTTCTTTGTTACTCTTATTGGCTTTTGTGTTGTCACATATCGATAAGGTGGAAGGATTGTGATCAGAATCAAAGAAGGCCTTAATCGATGGAATCACCTCACGTCTCTCGCAATAACCTTATTCATAATACATCTATGCAGAAAAAATAATACTTCTATGATTTATGACATGCGCTCATAGGAAGAGGTAAATTTATGAGTACTTCTGTATCACAATAAACCTTGGAGGGTCAACTTCCGCTGCAATTATTCCGGTTGAAGCATCTCTGCTAGCAATTTAGGCATACGATTTATCAGAGTATCACAATTTCCAACTAAACATTCAAATGTTCAAAATCTCATATAAGGATATAACTAACGGTGTAATTTTATTCATACTTTCATATGAAACTTTTATGATAATTACCATACACCTGCAGAATACTGTTCGCAGTTGTTCAATGAAAGTTCATCAATTCGCTGTTTCTATCCATATTCTCGCATGTCGAGTGCTTATAGTAATAGGAAGGTATTGTCGATTTTAATATTTCGATGAAAAATCTGTTTTCTTTGATAGCTCATTAGATACTTATATTAACAGTGCATAACTGCAAGAAAGATCAACAGCGGTGCTTTTAACAAAAAAGAAGCACTATTCTTTAAAGAAATAATGAACACAAATCAAATATTATTTATGAAATAATCTTTATAAAAAGATCCGTAGAGGATCCGTAGAATAGTTCGAGTAGAATGGATTATTAGAATCGATCCATGTAATCTCTGTTTATCGTAACACTGCATTCTTCTCGAGATTAAGAAAGTTAAATTGTCTAATTATCATGAAGTAGGTACTATCGATTTGAAAATTTGCAATTGCATTCTCATGGAACATTTTAGTGATACATTTGCTGTACAATTAACTGCTTATCTAATTACGTTTGTTGGCTTCATGTTAGTCATCCTGTTTGCATATGCTTTAATACTTTTAAAGTAAAAGGAGGATCTCCCGAATCATTTCATTTAACTATTTTGAAATTATTTCATGTATTGTATTCACTTCCCACCGTTTCTTGAATATCGTTTGTTTTTTTAGATTGCTTTTTTTTTTCAATTGCATAAAGCAAGTTGCAGACAGCTCTGACCACGACTTTTATCATAAGATTATTGCAAAACATTGAATTTCATTTTTATCTTTGACCATTTCCAACTAAAATAGGATATTTTTTTCTACTATTAATGTATCAAATGCTGATATTCATTACAACAAGCAATTTTTTTGGATTTTATTTTTAAAGTGAAACTTCCTGAAAATTTATTTGATAAACAATGAGAATTTCGTAGCCGAATTTATTCACATGATATTCCAGTTTTTGTGGAAGTTGAGAGATTTATCAAATATAATTGGGAAATTTTTATCGAATATAAGAACTCAAGGTGAAATGAAGCATAACTTGTTAGTTGTCATGGAAATTCCTAAAACAATTTCTCTATTGCTTGAAATATTGTGATACAAAACTAACATTTAATTACCAACAATGGCGTATAGCTTTATTTTTTTTTAATTTAGCGCTTTTAAGGTTTTAAGGACTGATAAAATGCATAATTAATGGCTTATAGAGGAAAAAAGATATAAAACACACTTATACGAAGCATTTATAAGAAAAATATGAAGTTTTCAGGTTGTAGTAAATAGGTCTATTATTTCGGCAAAAATTTCCTCATAACTTTTTTTTGATGATTTCGAACATCATTTAATACACGTGGTATTTTTTACCTGTTATCTTTGGTTATATGATTGTGAATGGTTATCGTCAAAACTCTTTTATAACAATGATTTCTACCTTTTAATATCAGAAATGATATCGTAATTGAAAACTTCTTATTAATATGAGCATTATATCACGATTATTCCTATGTGTTTTAAATCCCAAAGGTGATAAAAAATTTGAATTATACATTCAAAATATTCAAATCAAATCACTTGCTGTAGAATATTTATATGTGAAAAATGTATCAATTCAGATGTAATACTAATTTACCGTGTGAAGATAAAAACAAATATTCAATTCATTACCTTGCATTAGTATATGTCTAATTCAATTCGTAATTGGTGTTATTGTCACTGTATTAAAATCTGTCTTGCAGATAATAGTGCGATTGAAAACCAAAAAGATCAATCTGAAAACTCGACAAATATCTTTCGAATGATCAGTGAATATACAAATAATTATTTTAAAAAAAAAATTAAATGCAAAATGACTGCAAAATAAGTCACAGAACTGTTAAAATAGGTGCAGAGAAGAATGGAAGGAGTTGCGGGAAATATTTAAACAGAATGATCGAAACTATCAGTGACATGGCTAAATACATGCAAATACCGTAAAGGCAATGAAATGATGAAATTCACTGGAAGATCAATGAATATTTTGATCTCGCAATCGCTGTCAAAAAAAAAAAAAACAAAAGATTGCATACCCGTCTAGTGACTGTGTTAGAATCCATGTTATTGTACTTGAAATAAACAGAAGCCATTTATTGTTAAACAAATATGGAGCACTGTTGAAGATTACAGTGCATGAGATATATAGTAAGCCAAGTATGCATGACTAAATATGATTTTCATGATAACGTGGATAATTAACTTTATCAGTCATCCGAAAGGCATAATGTAAAAGGAAGAGACACATCGATCGATTATGGAAAACGTGACATGCATCGATCAAATGGGCTTTTCAATCAACTTTTCCTAATTATTAAGCCCATTTTTCTGGCTTTGAATTTGTATTTATTACCTGCTTGAAGAACATTACTTCTCTTTTGTAAATGGTACTACCAGTTGACATTGCAGCATTTTTCCGTATTGCCTGAAATCCAAGAGAGGAGCATCTGAAATGATGCTTTCCCAACTATTGCAAACTGACCCGACTTTAATGCTAATAAATTATTGTCCTTCTTGAAATATTACCCAACTGTGAATAGCACTATACTAATACAATCGTTTATAGAAATAAACTTACTCTGCGATAGGCAATTATTTTGATCAAAGTAAAGAAATCGATACATGCCATTCCCATTACTATTCCCACTGTAACTACAGTATCAATATAAGCACATATTTTACCATAGAAAAGATTTTGATAAGAAAAGCGATAGTTCGAATTTTCATTAAATACAAATGAGCATTCTTCTGTAAATAAAGATTTTGTTAATTTAAAATGTAAATACAAATTAGCAAAATAAATATATATAAGTGAATAATATCCTGACAGTATCTCTTGACATTCTGAAAGATGTATTTGGTATAAATTTGAAGAAGGACGATAGCCGTTTGCATATCATAATGATATTCAGCAATATTAGTAAAAACAAGATTGAGAACGGTATGTACTGAAATTATGCATAATCTATCTTAATTAATACAATCATCATTATGGAAGTTCGTGCGTCTATGCTTTACTAGTTTGCAATCTGTAGGGTGTGAGTAATTTCATTACAAACTTACTATATAAGTGTTGGGTGGACAAGAGTATTCCGAATGCCCATGAACTGACTGCAATAGATAAAGCTTTCGATTCCGACCAGAATTGGTCATATTTTGTTACATATACGAAAGCACAAAATCTATTAAGGGCGGTGAAAAAGTGTGCTAAAATTGACCCAAACCACGCTCCGTTTACTAAGACGCCTATGAATCGCACAAAAAAATATGTTCGTGAAGATAATATATGAGATTTTCTGAAATTAAATTTCTCAAATTAAGCAAAAAACAAAAAAGAAATTTTGAAAAAAATAAAAAAGTAAAAAATTTTGAAAATGAAAAATTTTTTCGTAAGGCACGTAAAACTTACATACTCAAGACAATGGTACACCACGTGAGAAGAACAAAGATAGCTTGCAAGTTACAGATCAGGAAGCTGCTGCATAAAATTCCAAACGCGTTACGAAAGCGATACCTCGTACGTGTTAAGTACAAGGATAAGCCATTGCTAATCAGTCCAAAGACTGCTACCTGTGATACATTCAATGTGAAGTATAAAAGTGATCGACTTTTTATTGTTCATAAATAAAAAGTTTGTACAGAAATAGCTGATTGCAATTTTCAGGATCATTTTTTCACACAGGCGATTTAGAGAGTAAACTTATATGGTAATTAAATATAAGTACTTCACCTTGAAAATATTTATATTTTTAATTATGCATGTTAGAAGGAGGATACTATGCCAATCATTTCCTATGATCTTAAATTCCTATCTGTTTTTTGTCATTACTTAAATCAAGATTACTAATTCATTGATTTATTTGATAAAAAACTGACCACGATAATACAGGTCATTGCAATTTCGTCTTCCATTTTACTGTTTTCATGCATTATGGTGCACTTGAAAAAATCTGTTAAAAGTACTATTATTTCAAGAACTGAGTAAAGTTCAATAACAAAGTTAGGCTTTTTCCATCGTGCACAATGGTTCAACAAATGTTGCTGAACAATATATGAAATAGAAAAATATGGAAAAAATAAATAAAAAAATACATTATGATAAAACACTAAATAAAAAGGTTCAAAATTTAAAAAAAAATTGAGAGCATTTTTTCAAATGTTGAATTCGAAATTGAATTTAAGGGAAATTGAGAAATTTCTCTTTTATAAAAAGAAAAAAAAAAACATCTTAAACAAAGAGCATTTTCATGGAGATGTGTTTAGAATTCTATCAAAGCAGCTATTTTACTGATATCCGTCGTAATATTTGGAGCACTTCAAACAGCTGCAGGATAAGATAAATGGTATTAACAGTTATGCAAAAATGAGCACTCTGTTGGCTGTTTTTTATTAGCAAATATTCATTAAGCTAAATATTTGCTAATGATATTCATTGAGACTCTCAATTTTAATTTCAAAAAAAAATACGAGTCTCGATGAATATTCCATTGAGACTCTCATACTTGATGAAACTTAACGAAATGTTCACGACAGAGAATTAATGGCAAATTAATTTATCGTGATTGTTGTTCCGAGAAACCTCTTTTTCTATCTAAAATTATAGGTCATTCAATAATTACATTTTGAAAACAGTTCTTTAACAACGAAAATAAGTTAGCAATGGGGCTGAAAAAATCAGAAGAGGGAACTTGAGATGGAGGAAAATGTTAGTCATATTTTTTGGAGTTTTAGAGTATTCAACTCTATCGTATTATTTATTGGTCCATTAAAGTTGATTTCAGACAATGAATTTCGGTTATATAAATTTAGTTTTTATCGCTCCGTTATTTCAATATACTTTTATTAATTTAAAGTTAAAAAACACAGTGTTTAACTGTTTCAATTTTGCTTCATATGCTCAGAAAATTTGGGATTCCATTCGATGGAGGCATGGGAATATAAGTTGAAGACAGTTCAAATGTTAGAAAATGTATTATGTTTCAAAAACTTCTATTACTTAGGAGATAATTTAAAATTTTTCGAAGAAATTTGAAATTATAGCAAGAAAAGAACATAAATGCACTTTCGATACTACTGCATAACAAATGGAATTAAAGCGTGAATTTTTTATTAACTCAAGTGATTCTAGTTATTTTTTTGTATCTTCTTAATATTTTAGTTGATTTTATCAAATTAAACCACTTTGATCACTGTTAAATCGATAATTGCTTATAATCACCTTGATAGTGGCTTTCTTCTGATTGCGAAAATAAGATATTAAGAATAAAACAAAATAAGATATCAAACAATAGATATAAGCTTTGGGGAAAATTCTCACGATTCTATTTCTTAATGATACAATTATTATTTGTTGATTGAAGGCGATGTAAAATACAGAAAATTCACTTTCGAACAATTTTTGATAATATTTTCAACATATTATCTATATTCATCAACATTTTTTTTGTTGAAGAGATAATGATGGATTTATGAGAATTTAATTCTCGAAACCATTAAGAATATATGACAAAAATTTCTAATCTCCTCTAAATCAATCTTGACTGTAGCATGTGAGCAAATTCAATCGCATACAAAAGCAAGAGAACAGAATAAAGTTTATTTATAACATTATCACAATCTCAGATATTATTTTGCCATATAAAACAAAGAACTAAGTTTGACTAAATAGCGGAATCAGACTAATTATGTTAGCATAATCAAAATTTAACGACTCACAGATTTCATAATTAATGGAAGTTATTGTACTGATTCGATAGTACTAGCGTAATCGATCTTTTCTGTTGTTTCTACATTTCTAAGTGTCCTTATAACTTCTACAACTTTTTTAAGCAGCTATTAGGAATTTCCAACAACCTACTATTACATGGATTTCAAGAACTGACAATGTGAGGGACTTATTTAGCCTATGATAGAAGGCATTTTTTCTAATTATAGCGAAGGCAAAAAAAATCGATCTTTTTGATTTCATTTCTCGATATTTTTGGGTAAACATAAAATTCAAATTTTTGAAATTTGTGCAATGCGTGGTGGATTTTTTATTGACTTCTTACCGTTGTACGGAGCAATCTAAAACATAAATTCATAATTCAGGGAATTCATTACGTAATTCGCTACTTAAAAAAGGAATGCAAACTAATCAGAGAATTTTTCTTTTCTTTTAAAAAAATATTCTTCAGAAAAGCACGAAAAGTCTGAGCAGTTGAACAAGAACTGATAAATCTTTGATTTCGACCAGAAAAACAGAATCCAAGCATTCAAGTTTCGATTTTTGATACGAAAGACTTTTGACTTCCATTAAAACCTTCGTATTTTTCTGCTGAATGCCACCGTTTTATAGCTTATTATCTATAAGGTATTAATTACTTCAGAATGTCTTTCAGAATGTATGTTAGGAAAATAAGAGAAGTTGTACTAAGCTATATTAAAGAGCTAGCTTGTTTGTCGACCCATCATATATTATTAGTAACAGCCTCGTGTCATCATACAAATTAATGAGTCATCCTGTGTAACAGTCGTTCATATAAATGAAACATGTAATTTCATTATCCTTTTTATTTTGAAACCAATTCAAGACTGTGAATAACGCCATTGTTACTGCATAAACGGATCATATTTGGGTTGGAAATCAGAAAAATTGATTTGGAAGATTAACAATAATGAGGCATACAAGCCAAGTATACACGACTATGAAGATAATGCCAATTTGTAATCATTATAACATGGTCATCGGAATTTCAGATAAGTAATACCTTCAAGCGTCACTTAACAATGACAAACTGTAAAATGCAGCTTCCTCAGTTTAATTGTCAGAATAAATTTATATATTTTACCAAGGAATATTTCTATACCAAGGAAATTTGATTTAATGATTTTGTATTATGGATTAATTTCGGATTTCCGACAGAAATGACAATAAGAAAATAATAGAAATGAGAATAAAAAAAGATATTCTCGTTGCTCGAATGTCATTCACAGAACATTTTCCGCCATTTTATGTTCTCCGCCTTTCTTTTCATCTGTAACAACAGATGCAGCCAGCGAGTAATCAAACAATCCCTTTTTCCCTCCTTCTTTTCCTCTGCTCATCAGATTACACTTATCTCCTCGTACCTCTGCGTGATCCCTATCGATTTATCTCACGTATGTCTGTTCGGATGACCTTTTGTAGCATCAACTGTACGTGATTTCCGTGATACATATGTATCTAAATGAGTGTCCTTGTGCCGCCGAGCGTTGGGTAAGTGTGTACAGCGTGACGCACGTTGCACACCACACAGTTATTGAGTGGGACCCTCCCAATCAAGACGTGTGCTCTCGCTCGGGACAATCAATCGTTAGGAATCGGAGTATTCCTCTTTGGACATCGTTTATTGTTAGTACTGCAATCCTCCTTCCAATAAACTTTTCCAATCATAATTGCTGTTGAATACCATTCTGTTCTCCCCATGAACGAAAAATTTTGAGACAATTCTAAAAATGTTCCTTCATGAACATGCGGATATACATGAAAGAAAAACTCCCATTTCTCTCACGTAAAAGGTAGAAATTCCCAGTTTTATTTAAATTCATTTTTAAATCCAGCATTTTAAAAAGTGCCCTTCCGAATAAAAAATAAATGGCGGTGTTTTTGCATTTGTCCTTTTCACTTACTTTCTAGCTTCATTCATGTTACTTTGCCTTGTTCAATAACATTTGTGGACCATTCTGCCCAATGGATATGGTAAAATA